CGCTGGGCGGGGGCGGGGCCTGCCTTAAAGGTATAGCCGCCCCGCCGCCCTCCCCGCAAGTCGCCCCCGCCCGCGCCCGCGCGCCGGCTATTTTATTGTTCTCTGTGCAAACATCTCTCTTCCTCTCCCGGGCTCCGGCTCGCGCCCGCGCTCCCGCGCCCTCCCACGCGCGGGCCGACCCCGGGCGCGCTCGCCTTACCTTTCCAGCTCCCACCCCGCGGACTCCTGGGCACACACGAAAGGGTGTGTTGACCGCTGTGGGAGCGAAGTGCTGCCCGCCCGCAGGCGAAAAGGCTTAGCTCGAAAAGCGCCCCCACCCCCGCGGCCAGCCTGAACTCGCTCCTCTGGTCAGAAACCTAAGAGTCCAGATGGCCTTCGCATAGGGAAAGGAACTTTGCTAATGGAGTTTTCTCCGAGAATGGAGTAGACGCCATTAAATAGACGTTTTTCAACGACCCCCTCTGGACTCTGGGTAGGTGGCAGGTGACCTCCTGGAGAAGAAGCCGGGAGCGCTTAAGAGGCGAGCCCTGCGCTCTGCCCGCGGGTCGCCGGAGCCAACGCGCTTTGGCTAAGCGGGGCCCGTGCTGCACTCTCCGGCCCGTGGACCCCCAACGCAACTGGGTAGAATTCCAAAAGGGAACAATCTATTTTCATAATTAGGGGGAAAGTTTCCACCTAGCTTATAAAAGTATGCGATACCCCCAAGTTTTTCTGCTGACCCCCGAAAGGTTTTCTTCCCATCGGCATCAGAAGTTGGCTGAACCATACTGGGGGTGAGCACTTGGGGAGAAGAGTCGGGTCGCACTCGTGTTTGGTAATCTTGACCATCCCTTTAACTTTATCGCATTTCTTTAAAGAAAATCTGTTTTGTCCTCTCTTGATTGCTATTCCATCCTTCTTTTAAGATCAAAAGCTTTAGATCAAAGCCAAGATCAAACTCACTACTTTAAATAGAAGCAACTTTGCCATGGAGTATTTTACACAAAGAAGCACTTCTTAATGGAGACATCAGAGTGGAAAACTTTATTTTATCCCTTCACCCCATATTCATAACTGGACTAGTTAAAATTACATTGATGATGCACTTCTATTTCTTAAAATAAACAACAGGTCTGCTCAAATGAGGGATTCTTGACTTAGTGTTTGTGTTTCCAGGAATACAAAACAAAAACTAAGTCTAGAGAGTTCGACATATTAACCATTTTGTATCATTATTTGCTAAGTGCTATGAAATGCATGTTTATTTGCTAAAAATTTTTCAAAGTGTTATTGAATCTTCTTTTATATAGTGTACCACCATCATATACAATTTTCCTACTGTAAAAGAAATGCATAAAAAGTTAATGCCTTGCAAATCTCGGGTGCACATACAGATAGGTAGGTAAAAATTACAAATGATGGAGTGGATTATGTAATTGTAGAGCTGTTTAATTTTAAATTAAAATAAAACTTTGAACTATGTAAGCTTCCATGCTACTAATAACAGTTCCAGAATCAATAGAAATCTATCACTGGCTGACATTTCCCTTACCCACTCTAATTTTTTTCTTTGGGAATTCACTATCCCTAAGAACTCTGATACAAATTCCCCTAAGAACTCTGATACAAAGAGTTCAATATTGACGTACTAAAACAGTACCTGCCTAAATGGACCTTTCTTAAGTGTCATCTTTGTTGATTTATCAACAATTTTAAAACATGTAGTCTTAGAACAAAAAAATAAAAATAAATTCCAACAACCCAGTAGCAGGAATAAAGAAAACTATTGCAAATTAAATCTTATACATACAGACTTCTATGAAAATCTGTTGTTGCAGCTGGGTAGTTAGTACTTGAAGCCTTTTTTCCCCCTTATAATTCTCATTTGGTTGTAATCTCAAATACAGACACACACACACACACACACACACACACACGATCGGTCCTCATTCTATAAATCCCATCGAGCCAGCGTAAAGATCTTAGGAACTGAGACCAGGGAACCTCATCTTGCTGCCATTGACATTCTCCTCTCTTCCCAGTGCCCAGCTCATGGAGAAGCTAATGGTTTTTGGCAGAAGCTGAGCAAAGGGAACATGCTACTGTCACTCTGCTCCTCTAGTACTTTGAGTGGGTAGCAAAAGCTGTGGTCCATTCTAAGTGCCTCCTAACTTGTCTCCTTCTTTGTCCTCTTGTCCCCCAGCACCAGCCCCACAATCCATCCTCCACAGAGAAACCGGAATGATATTTACAAAGGTAATTCAAATGATATCATTTTGCTTTACTGAGAATGCATTTCCTTCTCTTTGCCTGGCTGGCTCCTACTTATTTGCTAGTTCTGGGCTTAAATAACCCTTCTCTAGAAAGGTCTTTTCTCACTCCCCAATCTAAATTATGTCACCCCACTATTCTTTCTAATAGCATCCTGTGTATTTCCTTTAAAGTGCTTATCTTTTATAGCTAGATTAAAATATTTATTTTTAATTATACTTATTTTTTAAAGCAATTGGAAAAATTTGTGCAGAAAACAGAGTTACACAGTTTCCTTTATTATTAACTTCTTGCATTAGTTGAGGCATGTGTTACATTTGATGAACCAATATTTGATACATTATAATTAACTAAGGTCCATATTTTACATTAGGGTTCACTCTTTGTTTTGTATGGTTCTATTATAGCTATTTTTAAGTAATTTATTAGATGCCTATTTCACTGACTGGACTTTAAGGTCCAGGAAGAAAAACATCCTGTCTCTTTTGTTCTTGATTTTTGTCCAGTCACTCAAAACACTGCCTGGTACACGGTAGATGCTCAATCAATATGTTAAGTAAGTGAATGGAAGGGAAAAGAATCAATGACTGGAAGAATGGCAGATGAAATTTCAAGGAGGGGAGTCTTAAGATGAAGATCTTTCTAATTAACTTCTGTTTGTTTCTCTACTAAAATACCTTAATTTTTACAGAGCAAAGAATTGTGCATTTTTTAAAAAGAGAGACCATGGGTACTCATCAGTTACATTGCATGAGTACTTCTAACATGACCTTTTTTTAAAAAAAAAAAAAAATAGAAATGAGAAATAAAGGTTCCCAATTCCTTCATATATTAATCACTAAAATTATATTCCAAAATGGTGCTAGGAGCTGAATTTAATCTAGAATGAAATATTGACGTATTGCATGACACTGGGAAAATATTAATTCTTTTTGATTGTATATAACCTCAAAACATTTCTCCTTTTGTCTACCTAAATCTCCCTTTCTTCATGGGCTGACCTCAGTGAAGGTAAGGTGTGAAGACAATGGAGGAAGACTATTTTTTTAAAATTGGAATTCTGTAGCCGGAGATGGATATTCTAATAACTATCTTTGAGAATGTGGTAAAAGCACTTTAAAGCTATCTTTTAAAAACAGATGTTTTCTATTTGAATTAGATCTTTAAAAATGCTCTGTCTAGTAGAGATGCAAGTTTTTGTTTTTTTTTGTGTGTGTGTGAGGAAGATCAGCCCTGAGCTAACATCTGTGCTAATCCTCCTCTTTTTGCTGAGGAAGACCGGCTCTGAGCTAACATCTATTGCCAATCCTCCTTCTTTTTTTTTTTTTTCCCCCAAAGCCCCAGTAGATAGTTGTATGTCATAGCTGCACACTCTTCTAGTTGCTGTATGTGGAACGCGGCCTCAGCATGGCTGGAGAAGCAGTGCGTTGGTGCATGCCCAGTGCGCGCCCAGGATCAGAAGCTGGGCCGCCAGTAGCGGAGCGCGCACACTTAACCGCTAAGCCACGGGGCCAGCCCCGAGATGCAGGTTTTAAAAGGAAGTGTTGTAAGAAACTTCCTTGTCTAAGCAGTTTATAATAGCATATAGGACAATGTCAGAGGCTGAGGAAAATGCCATTGCTTTAAAATAAAAGCATTACTTAACCTAGTGGCTGCAGATTACTTTTGGAAGGAAAAACATTTTTCTCTTTTCTTTTTTTTTTTTTTGTGAGGAGGACCAGCCCTGAGCTAACATCCAATGCCAATCCTCCTCTTTTTTGCTGAGGAAGACTGGCCCTGGGCTAACATCCATGCCCATCTTCCTCCACCCTATACGGGACGCCGCCACAGCATGGCCCAACAAGCGGTGCGTCGGTGCGCACCCGGGATCCGAACCGGCGAACCCCGGGCCGCCGCAGCGGAGCGCGCGCATCAACCACCTGCGCCACCAGGCTGGCCCTCTCTTTTCTTCTTTTTAGTCGAGAGGAAATTATTCCTTTCACTGGACAATGACAGTGATACCAACTTCATACTGTCCGTATGGATGTGTGCTTCTCCCTCGTG